CTGTGTAGCCACCAGATGACTACAAATAAAGCATTTATAAACAGGTCCCACAACCCCTAAGGACAGTGCCATTCCTTCCTGCATGTGTTCAACCCAGCGATTCATCGTCTTCCCTGGGCTGTGATAAACATCTTGTGCCTTCCTGCTGATCCCTGAAAGCAGCTTTCCTTTCTACCACAGTTTTGCAGGTGCTCCCTTCCCTTCTCAGCCACCTCCCCACCTCTGCCCCAGGCCCCCTTCTTGCAGACTCGTGTGCCTCTCCAGGAACCTCTCCCCACACATGGGCCATGGTTGCTGGGACCAAAGTAGCCTCCCATCCCATGGAGACTGTCCCATCAGGCAGCCTTCTGGAGACCACAACGCTCTGTGAGCTGCGGCCGGGGACTTGGGCCATATTGTTGCTTCCGATGCATTTTTGTCTTGCCTGTGGTGTGCACAGGAGCAGGGCCACCAAGCACAGGTGGCATGATGATGTCCCTCAAGCTGGGGGAACACAGGGACCAAGGGAGCACACAGCCTGCCCTGACCATGCCTGGGGCAGCGTCACCGTCCCAGGGCTGGGCCCTGATCAGCGCAGAAGGATTTTGGGGATGGGTGATCATGGTCTTGCTGCAAGCCCATGGCATGTCTCCCCATGGCCTGGGGCTTCAGCTGACCCCTCCTCAGCTGGGGTGATGCTTTGGGTGAGTGGCCAGGGCATAACACAGTGATGGTGGCTGAACAAGTACAGGGGCACGCAGCAGCCAGAGTCAGGGACGAGACTGCTCTGGATGGAGAGGGCCTTGAGAAGTAAAACTACTAGTGAGGGCCTGCTTCTGCAGCGTTGTTCTTTCTTATCTGGCAGAAGATCTGGCCTGGGATGCTCTGCTTCCCCTTTCTCAGGTTTTCAAGCCACTGCAGCAAGAGGATTCACAACTCCCTGGAGACCTTTTGATGTTTATTCTTTTACTTTTGGGGAAGGGAAGAGCTGATGTGCAGTCATTAACTGATGAGTGCTGGAAAGCCCCACTGCTGGCCCAAGTTCCCTTTTCATTTGAATGGGCTCTGGAGAATTTGCTTGTTTACATAAAAAAATAAACAGCATAGTCTTGATTCTGCAAGAGGAGGAGGAGGGAAGCTTGGGGGACACCTCAGGTGCCGCCTTTGCTAGAAATGGTGCCAGTGTGGGGAGGAAGGAGCTGGGCAGAACAAGACCCCATGCTTGGAAATGGGGTCTCAGCAGATAACTGAGCATACCCAGCTGTGCTGGAAACACAATCACATGGTCATCACACTGCTCGGGAAACCACAGGCTCCACTACAAAAGCAGCTGGGCTGCCAAGGCAGGAGAGAGGTGGCTGAGCATCACCTGGGCTTCACCAAAACCTGTCCCCAAGGAGGCGATGGGAGGGTAGGAATAAGCTGTTCCCTATTATCTTCTGGGATACCCAGTCACTGAGTCTTCTCCATTCACAATATGTAACATTCTAGTTTTTCTTCTGTTAAGACTTTAGCTTTCTGAGTGTAAAGCCCCTCTGCATTTCTTTGGGGTGCTCTCTCAAGGGTCTGCCCAGCTCCATTTTGAAGCTCTGGTTGACTCAGGGTACAACACAAACCAAAGGTGATGCTCTCATTCCTTCCTGGAGCCAGCGCTCACCCTGTGACTCCACGTACAACCCTGCCAGGTCCTACAGCCTGGAAAGACACTTTCAAAAGAGGAAAATGAGAGTCTCTTCCAAAGACTGCTTCCTACAGCTGGACACTGGGGACCACCAAGTACTGGAAGCTGGTGATCCAAGCCAGATCCTGCGCAGTAAGTCCTGCCCAGCATCTCGAGACACGGAGGCTGCAGGAAGGATATATCCAGGAGCCCTTCCCCAGAGGATCATCTGCACTGAGTCACTGGGCAAGCTCACCCACCGGCGCAGGGGATGGGGCAGAAACTCACCGCAGCCGGGCAGAGAACTCTCACCACGACGGCCAAGCAGAGAGGCAGGGGTGGATGTGCCTGGACCAGAATCTGGAAGTAGCCACTTCTCTAAGGAAGAGGAAAAAAAGTATGTGATGCCAGTTTTCTCAAATGCACTGCAAAGGAGACATTTTTCCATTTTTCTCCTGTGGGGTGGATCAACTGCTTCAAGGTTAAGTGGAAGATGGATCTGGGGGTGTCAGGAGGAGCTGCTGCTCCCAAGGGACACTGCATGGGAGAGGCTTCTATGTCAGGTAGCAATCAGGGGAAATGATGCTTGGTGAGGACTCCAGCCTCTGTTTTTCAACCCTGACCTTTTTTTGAGCTCCTAGAGTTAAAGACAGCAGTGGAGAACTGCTTCAGCTCAGCTTTTAAAGCAAAGCTGTGATAACAGTAAAAGAATAGGACATGGAAGCAAGTTCAGCCTAATTTTTAGTGATACAATTCTGAACAGAATTAATCCTGATAATTCCAAGGAGGCAGAAGAAGTTAGGAATTTATTTGTTCCTTAGTTTTTTGATTAGAATAAAACTCAGCAATCAGAATGATAAATTCAGTTGAAATAATGTGATTAAGGTCCCTTGATACTGTAATAACACTGTGCCAACCATGGTCTGACATCACATCACAAGCTGACATCACATACTTCCTTGGAGGGCTCCTCTCACTTCTTTCTATTATTATTTTAATTTGCCTTGTGACCTTGTAGCTCAACTGGCAGAATTCAAGGGTGCTTCAGAATTGAAGCTTCGTCTGTCACCCAAGATTCTCAGTGACGAGGTGTGACCCTGGAGAGTTGTGAAAACCTCCGTGTTTACCCAAGGAGGACTTCATCTACAAGAGCAGCCCTTGCAGTGATGTGAACAGGGACACAATCCTCATAAAAGTGAAGATTAAGCAAACACAAAGCATGGAAAAACCACAGCCACACAGCAGAACCACAGTTGTGCAACCAGAGAGCCAAAGCAGCTAAGGGGACAGCCTGCATTCTGCTAAGCCAGCATTATGAAGGTGGTGGTATGTCAGCTTGACCAGAGGCTGCCCTAAGCATAAGAGTTCTTACACAACATTTCATAGAAAAACCACCACGCTGAGCAGGGACAGACATTTCATAAGTCACAATCCCAGTCCCAATCCAGAGAGGATGGAGGCTGTGGGGTGTCTGCTTCACAGGAATAACTGTGCTCCTCATGCATCACTCTGGGGAGAAGCCAGGGCTTGGAGAAAACAGCAGCAGAGGTGTCTCACTGCCGGGGCCAGGCTGCAGGGGCCAGCGAGAGGGGACAAGCCTGGAGCCAACGGTACATACACCATCCCAGATACACCAACATAAGGAACCAGGTCCAGCACCCATTTGAGAGGGTTAAGGGGCTCCCAGTCAGCAGCAGCAGGAAATGAGGAGAGAGACAGGGCTACATCACCAAAGGGTCCAGCCAGCCAGGAAACAAGATACTGACAGCATAAGTCCAAGGTCTGTGCTAGAGACAAGGCCAGAGCCAGGACACAAAACCAGCACTCTTACAACACATCTAGAGGCTCAAGCCCGAGTTTAAATGGGGCTTCTGGGCTTTGGGCAAAGGGTGGGGGCGTGTGGGGGTGTGTCCATCCACAGGTAAGGCTGGTCAGGGTGATTAAGGCCAATTAGTGCCCTCAAGGCCTGCCATCTGATGGATCCTGTGGGGCTGTGAAGGCCCTGGGTGAGCCTGCATGGACTTCCAGTGACTCCTTGTTCTTGTAACAGGAGAGTCTCTTTGTAGGTACTCCATCTTGAGGTCAATTAAAGCAACTGTCTGACAAAGTGATGGAGAGGGTTTGCACTGATGTGAGGTTGGAAACCAAAGATGTAGGACAGGAAGGGGCACACCATAACCATGGGCCCCCATCTCCTGTGGGTTGGGGGGAAACCTCGAGGTAGAAGCACGTCTTGCACACGAGGTGCAGAAGTCACACCTTGGCCCACCTCAGCATGACAGACTTGGCATTAGTTATCACCTGGGCCAAATTCTACACCTGAGGCAGCCCATGAACCTCCAGGAAGAGCACAGGAAGGTGCATGGTTGGACAATCTTTGCACAAGGTCTTCCCTGCACTGTCAGACATAGAGAAGCCAGGGAGCAGCAGCAAAGCCAGAAAGCGTGTGCCACCAGCCAGCCGAGGGACTGGGTGTCCAAAAGCTCCCTCAGTGCTCCGGAGCTGCAGCCCCGAACAGCCCCAGCCCCAAATGGCCCCCCGCCAGCGCCTGCATGTCGGAAATGATTCATCACTGTCCGGGCTGACTTGTTTACACAGCCTCCCCCTCCCTCTCCCACCCTCTCCCCATAACAGCGAGGAGAAAAAAAAGTGTTTTTCTTTCCACATAACTTCTTATACCCCAAATGACCTTTCTAGCCTGATGATTAATCTGGAAAAAATTTTCACAGACTTCACCATCTTCCCAGCATGCCAGTGGTGCTGGAGCATGGGGCAAGGTGGCTGCACAGCACGGGGCTGGGACACGGCCAGGATGAGGGCTCCTGGATGCAGGGGAGATGCTCATTCCTCACCCTCTTGTTCTTTTCAGCTCCCCACTCCAGGCAAGTCCCTGGGCACTGACTCTGTATTGCATTGCCATTCCCACCTCCCCTCTCCAACACTAAAGAGGAGCACAGAAGGGCAGCCCAAGCCCTAGATGGGGTGGTAGAGGTCCTAGCTCAGCCCTTGGCTGCTTGCCCCCTTACAGAACAGACTTGGAGCATAACATTTGTTTTCTGTGAGTTGTTGTTTGGTTGTAAACCCGGCTGATTTCTCAGTATTGCCTTGGCAGGATAGGAAATGTGACTGCCCGTGAGAAAATATATTCCCTGCAAATTTTTGGCAAGACCAAAGCCCTTAAACAGTCAAAAGGTGGAGCAATAGCCCAGCTGCACCAGCTCTGCTGTCTATCAGCGATGCTGGGATTCCCCCCCATGGTGCTTAATCATACACATTCATCTCCATACCTCTGCAGGGACCAGGCTTGGTCACCCAGACCTGGAATTAATCCCCTGAGGACAAGAATTTTTAACATAAGGACTTTAATACTCCAAGAAAAGGTACAGAACATATATCATATGCACACACTCATATATACTTGATACACGAATGAATCAACACTTGCCGCACTCTACAGCAAATGACATTTAAGCCCCAGGAGCTGGAGACACCCATAGGCTCTGTCCTTCCGCACCAGCATTCACCTCCCAGACTGCCCCTTGCACAGCATAAAGCAAGGGGGAACAGCGGGGTCCCCGCTGCCCTGGGTTTTAGCTGTCCCCCATGAGGAGTGCCAGAGCCCCACCTGCTAACAGCCTGGGAACAGGAGAGGGGAGCAAGGCGAGCACAAGGACAGAGTCAGGCTGGAAGAGCAGCTCCTCCTGACGAGTGCCAGTGTGCCCATCACAGCTGGAAGATGGTGGGAGCTGGCCATGGAGCTGAAAACAGCGTCCTTACAAATAGCGTGGTGGGACTCAAAGTGGTCAGATTTGCCTGGTGCACATTTATCTCCCCAGCATTACTCCAAGCCAAGGCTTCACCCATAGCCAGACAAGTGTCCACTCCATTTCCCCTGTAATGCCTGTAGAGCAACCCAGCTCCCATGGATATGCACAAGCCATCCAAGACCAGCTAGAAAATAGACAAGGCACAGTGGTTTCCAATGTTCCCAGGAAGGTCTCGACTCCGCAGTGCTTCAGTAGAGACAAAAACAAGACATTACATACATTCAAATGGCTACAAAAGTTTACTACAAAAATAACATTTCTAGTGTTTCAAATAGAAACAATACCACAGTATGCTGCCTCACGAACTGCGAGGTCATGAACCCCAGCCAGGAACAAGTGGGGCGGATGGGGAGGTGGCACTTACCACTCCCAGTTTACTCTCCCGGTAAGTTAACCCCAGACAGAGTTACACAGCTGCTCTGCACAGGAGTGCTGCTGCACAAGAAGGGGTTTCACCCTAAATTCCTAATTACAATTAATCTGATGGCATTCTGTACTTGCAAAACGTGAGAAGAATCCCTGGCTCCCCTCTCTCAAGTCAACAAAAAGGAGGGAAGATGGCAGAAAACAAACACCATCACAGTCCATCCTCTCCACCTCCAGGGCTGGATGGATGCCCTGAAGGTGTGATCTGATGGATCTAATAGGCCACCTTCCTGTAGCTCTGCTTTACAGCTGGCCAGTCATTTTTGCTTTCATTATCTTGCTTATGATGTGGGTTTTCTCTTTTTTCTACATGCATATTTTTACTCCAGGATCTGATCCACTGAGGTTATTTAGAGAAGGATCCGACCCTTGACATGTATCTCTATCTACAAAGCATCATATAGTGAAGTGCATCATTTGCTGCATGCCCCAGCAAAATTCATACTGGAAGCAATGTTCAGTAAGGGCTTTCAGGAATTGGCCACAGAAAAAATATAAAGTTTACATACAGCAGTGTCTAGATGTATAAAAATAAAAACCAGTTTGGATTAAAAAAATGCCTGGTACTGCTATGGTGCTTTAACAGCCTGGTGATCACTGCTATACAACAAAAGAAAAGCTAAAATGCGGCTGAAGTGTAGGACCGTGAACAGGGATTTTGTGCTTTTTCGTGGATCAACAAATGTGCTTATTTCTCGAGAGAATATGGAACCAGAAGGAGGTTATGTCTGCTGTGGTGGAGTGATTCCTGTATGACTAAACCCAGAACTGCATTTAACTCCTCCAAGAGAGTATCTCCTCAGTTTTGTGCATGTAGACAACAGCAAAAACCCTCCAATTTGTCACAGGAAAAGCAAAACTGTAGGGTGATGTCTCGATTTCTCCCATTTGCAAAGGCTCATCCAGATTATCTTGTCCTGGTGTTGGATGCAGCCAGACACGGGGTGCATCAGCTGGCAGAAGGGTTTTATTGTGATTGATTTGCCAAGAACCAGGGTCTCAGACTAAATCTGCTAGAAGAAGTACCCATAGCTGTTGGCCTAATTTCAAGGAGATTGTGGGTTGCCATCTCCTCTGAACATGAGATAGTAGCACTGACCTTCAGTCCCCCAATCAGACATAGTTTTTGTCATCTCTGTCTGAAAAGCCAGACTACGCCTCGTGTCTCCAGCGAGAGTAAGTGGGGTACTCAATCAGCCCAAGGAGAGCCAGCACCCAGCTGACCACCAGCATTGGTCTTGGTCTGACAGACCAGCAACCTGAAGTGCAAAGAATGAAGCAGCAGAGTTTAAGTGCAAATTGTGTGGGTTTGGTGTTAAGATTGCTCAAGGCGGCTGAGCCCAAGTCCAGCAGCATGGGTGAGTGGGTGGCTTCTCAGCTGGGCCATGATGAAACACAGAAAAATTCCCAAGAGTAGTTTGGAAATTCACTTCTGCCCACCACCTGGCAAAGAGCCACCAAGCAGATCCAGAACAGCAACAGCCTTTGTACAGCCTTTGTACGTAACAGTGCAGGAAGATAAAAGCATCTCATTGATATCCAAAATGCCGTCATTGGTCAATGACGAATTAGATATATTTTTGAATATTCTGCTCTTAAAAAAAATCAGTTTTCTCTGGTATTTTTATTTCCTGCCTTGCTTCCTACTGGTCACCAGTTCAGCATAAACTTAGCTTTCCTGCAGCAACACACATATAGTTTAGGCCAAAAATGTCCATTCCATAAAGCATTCAGATTACTTCCATTAGATAGACATTGTTTTGGTGTCCCTTCTTCTGGTAGAGCAAGCCCTCTACCATTTCTCTTGACATTTCTTCTGGTTTGACTCCAAATTTTAAATATAGCCATGCGGCAGTAACACTGCAAGCCATCAGACCACCTACCACAGAAACTGAGATAACAAAGTGCGTTGTTGATCTCGACATGCTGGGAAGAGGCAGATCATTTGGTCCTTCCGTAGTCATCTGCACTCTGGCTTGGCCTGAGAAGGCCTGACTAGTAAAAATTAATGTATCCGAAGACTCTTGCTTTCCTACAGACGATGAATAATCAGATGTTCTAGTACCAAAAGCATCTGCAAAGGAACTGACAAACTTGTTGGTATGGACAAAAGGACCTTTGTCTATGGCAGTTGTGGAGTTTAGCGCAGAAACTGAAGTAGTTGCTGGTGGAACTGGTGTGGCTGGGGCTGTGGTGATCCCTGTGCTGTCCGGGATGGAGGGGAGATCCGAACTAAGGCTGCTAGAAGCACTGTCTGGTGCTTTGGCTCTTGCGCTTGTAGGGTCTAGAGATTCATTTATATAAAGTACAGGATGGTCTGATCCTTTAGTAATGGCCATGGGGTCTGAATTTGAGCTAGAAGTCGTGTCTTGAACATCAACCATAGCATTTACAGTATGTCCTACAGGTTCTGTAGATCCTACGGTGCTGTCAAAGCCACGCACAAGAGCTGTGGGATATGGGGTGGGCTGGCTGGAAACCATGCCTGCTGAAAAAGTTGTTGAAGGTGCAGGAGATTTTAAGGAATTTCTGTTTGCTTCTGGAGTGACTTCAGAGTGGGCAGCAACTTCCCATGTCATGGGGGACACTCCTGCAGGGACCTGGGTGGTGTCCTGCATGGCTGGTGAGGACTTGCTGGACACCTCCATCCTGGCAGCAGAAACATGTATTCTCTCCAAAACTGTTGTGCCAGTTCCCTGGAAGAAATTAGTTGGAGTAGTGGCTTGAGATGGAGCTGTTACTGTAAGACCAATGTGTTTCTGAAAAACACCAGGCTCTTCCGGTGCCACTGCTGAGGTGGCATCACGTGGAAGTGGGGAGGCTGCAGCCGCCTTCTGGTCCAGTTTCTCTATAATCTTATTCACCCACTCTGCCTCTGGATCTGCACAAATCTCCCTGGACTTCAGAGTAATAAATCTAAAAATAAAAAAGGGATCACTTACTGGATGAAGAAAACACTGCTTTAGATGATCAGTGTAAAGGGGAAGGCGTGCAGACAGCATCACTGACCCTCTCAAGCCCATAGTAAACACCACCAGGCTGGATGGATTATTTGTTTTGGGAAGGGCAGGTGCCTCTGAGATCTGATTTAGTGAGGAGCAGCTGAATGTGACGCATGAGTGAAGGGGTTTCCCCTAAGAGGTTTTCTCTTTTGAAAACATTGCCCTACTGTTTGGACACAGTGTTTGCCTCCAGCGCGCAGAGCAGGAAGCTCTGCAGGCACCCCCTGCCTGGGGCAAGCACACATGAAGCCGAAACCCTCTGATTTACCGAGATGAGACTTTCCAAGGTCAGCCCAGCAGGTTCACTTGGGGCAACCTTCTGGGCTGCAACAAAGTGGTCTTGATGGTGCCTCATCATTAGGGTAAGTTGAAAACAGTTATCCTGACGAAAAAACGTAGCTTTTCTCATCTCCAGACAGGCTCTCAAGGCTGAAACTGTCTCCAGAGAAAAGACCTGTTTTCACAGAAACATACAAGCTCTTGCCTTGCTTCCACTGCCCCATTCTGCCAACAAGTTGGTCCATCAGTCCCTTTCCCCATCTTTTGCCCCTGTCTCACTCTGTTCATGAGCCCCTGATCTCTCTCGGAGACTGTTGGTCTTTAAACAAGGAAAAAACCCCACCCACCCTTCAAGTAAATAAATACTAGCGTTTGCTCTGTTTGCACACTGCTCCTTGCTCCAAAGCATTTGTGAACAGGCCAAAGATTAAAGGTTGTTGGAGGGAGCACGGCAAGGGAGGCAGGCGGCAGGGCAGCGCTTACATGACAGCTTGCTTGCGGCAGCTGGGTTCCGTCCTGCGGTAGCTCCTTACCAGCTTCTCCACCCTCTGAGACGCAAAATGGTTGCACTCTGTTGAACACTTGAGAGGTGCTTTGGGTTGCCCTGAAATAAAGTTTTCAACATATTAAACACTGGCATTTTATTAGCTACTATAAAAAATGGCAGTTTCGTTTTTGCCTTCTCTGGAGCGGAGTCCAAATCTTGCCATGGAAGTTTCCAATCCCTCAGTGAGATCAAGACCTATGAGCTCAAGCTCAAATGAGATGAAGACATACCCTGTCAGGGTCAGGATTGTTTGTACCACCCAGATAAGATGGTGATAAGATACCCAGAAGACCGCAAAAAAAGGACTGTGAAAATTGCAGGGCTCATGGGGCACTGTTGCAGCTTGCCTTATAGGATGTGCAAGTGCTGGCTGGAGGTCCTTTGTGCAAGCACATGGACCTGCAGGTCCTCTCCCCTTTGGGTCACAAGAAAGCTTCTTCTCAGCACAGTGCCCAAAAGACACATTTCTTCATTCCCAAAAGACCTGCTGCAATCATCACCAAAAGGCTCTCGGTGCAGGGGGCAGGATGCTTGTCCTCTCCTTATCTGGATTAGTCCTATCTCTTCCTCCTGTGGGAAGGCGAGCATCCTGCCTCTCTGTTTGCTGGTCTGCAGTCCCCAAATGCCACTAGAACTCAGAGGAAGGGTGCAGAAAAAGAACCTTTTGGAGAATAACACATTGCTTCGGTACATACCTCAGCAGCCCAACTTCACAGCACAGTTTCTCACCAAACATCTATTTTCCACCTCCACCAGAAAACACGGGTTTCATTTTGAAACGTGCAAAAATAAAACCCTGCTTGACCCCTTCAAGGGGCAAAGCCAGTTACAGCACTGTGGGCCTGTCATTCCTGCACCTACCCCCAGCCTCCAACAACAGGCGTTTGCCAAGTGAGAGGAGATTGTGCAACACAGCCTGGCAAGTTGTTTCTGACAATCGAAGGGGCAAGACTTAGAAAAACAAGCCATGATTTATCTGAGGCCCCCTGTGAGGAAAGCAGATCGAATCTGGCTTAGATCAGGCAGCCTCTACAAAACATTGTCTCAGATTCCCAAATGAATTTTGAGAATTTGATGCAGTTCAGTTGGAAATGATCCAGCCACTGGCTGCAGAAGCACCATCTTTTGATCAAGTTTCTGGGAAAACCCATTGTTGCAAAGAAGTCCCAAGCAAACACTCCTGTGGCCCCTCTACAGAAGCACATTTCAACCTTCAGGTCTCTGTAACGTCAAAGCAAAGCTCTTTGTTCACACAGGAATGTCCTCCGTGGCACTTTAAGGTCAAAAATACCTGCTCAAGGGCAACCTACTTTCCAATTAACTATCATTAGCCAAAGGACATACTCCTGGTGCCCTCCACTTCCAGCAGCACTGTTCCACAAAACAGGCCCAGCAACAAGAGGCCCATATCCGTCCTTGTGGACAGTCGGGGAGGTGTGTGGCAGTGAGTGCTCAGGTACTGCTCCCAAAGGTCCTGCTCATCACTGGTAACTGATTTTCCAGTTATTGGCACCAATGCAAATGGTTTGTGATTAGCTGAACTGCTGGTGGGTTTTTCCCAGTGTGGAGGAGATTGGAAAGCCCCTCCCTAGGAGAGAGCAGTGTCACAGGGAACATGAAGCCAGCCCTGGTGGTCCCACTCCTCCTGGGGCACACAACCCCGCCCCTCTGAGCTGCATCTGAGCCTTTGCCAAAGGGACCTCAGGGACACGTGGGATCTGGGAGTTTATCCACCCAGGACCACTGCTCCTTGGAGGCACTGCCCTTTGGTGTCTCAAGAGACCCTGTCCAGGGAGCACCACCAGCCTTTCTTGCTGCAGACCCAGCCTGATTTCATCACTTTAGAGGAGATGGATGCTTGGCCACAGGCAAGCAGAGCTAGGCAGCGGGTTCCCAGGGCAGGGTAAGGTGCCCAGCACCCCCACGGCTCACATTACTCAAGCCAGCCCTGGAGAACCTGCCCAGCAGTGTGAGGAGAACTCCATCCCCAGCTGCCCTTCTTGCTGTCCTCACTTCTCCTGTCTGGTGGCAGCACGGCATAGATCTCGAGGGCTCTTTGTCCCTCTCCCTTCCCATGGTAGGAAGAGATCATCCCTTTGTCCTGGGCAAAGTCCAGCTTTCCCTGTGCTGCTGAGAAGCTGGCTGCCAGACTGACAACACATCCTTCTTAATGGCTGCCTTGGGCAGCAATCACTGATCTGTGCTACAGGCATCTCAAACCGAGACCAGCCCAGGTAGAGTGCGCTCACCTCCTCCTGGTCCCCAGCCCTACTCAGCACCACCCTGGAGAACGCAGAGATCTTTATCCAGTAAACAGGAGAGTGTTTCCCACCTGTGCACACACACATGTTCAGGCTGCACACATGCATGCCCTGGACTCAGAATCCCAGAATCATTCAGGCAGGAAAAGACCCTTGGGATCATCGAGACCAACCATCAGCCCAGCTCTACAAAGTTCTCCCCTCACAGAGATGGGAACACTAGCATCCTCAGGATAGGGACCCTATCCAGACAGACATCTACCCTTGGACAGGCTGCCTCCTGCCCCCATGGCATGTCCCTAGGGGACATGAAAAAAGAGAAGTGCATTATGCTTCTTTTCTAATATGGATCATCAGAAAGTCTCTCCAACACTCTCTCCATCTACCCTCCAGAGTGACAAAAGCTATCACGAGGCTTCTTAGACTTCCCTGCTGCCAGGATTGCTGCCGTAGGCTCCCACCACCCCTTCCCAAACCCAGCCTGAGCCTGCTACGAGACCTCCCATAGCCCACACAGGTCCCTTGATGATGTCCATAGCCTGATCCAGTGCCACCTTCCCTTCACGCACACTTCACCAGCCCCTGTGAACCTGACTGCTCCCCCGGGGAGCCCAGGGGATGGCAAGCAGAGCTGTGGCTCACCTCCAGCCAGCGTTGCCAGGCACAAGACCATCAGCACAAACAGGACCCGGAGAGAAACAGCGTTCATGTTCCCGTGGTCGGCTGCAGGAGGGGCAGGCAGGGAAGGCTTACAGGCAGTATTTCCCCCCTCCTGACTGCTTATTGCATCCTCCGGAGCAACACAGCTGCTGCAGCTCATTCCAGGATTATGAAGCCTGGAGACGGGGTTTCAGCTGTTTATTCAGCTCCCCTACATGTCTCAGGGTGACGACAGGAGGCGGAGAAAAGAGTGGGACTGGGAAGGGAATGACGCCTGCTCCTGGAATTCCCCAGCTGCACTTACATCATCCCTTCTTAGGGCACACAGCAGTCCAGCCTCCCTGGCAACTTATTCAGGCAGGAACTTTCAGGAGTCAGCTCTCCTCTCCCATTGATGTGTCTCTTGGCCAGACAGCCTGTACTACTGTCCTTAGGCTCCCAGAGCTCTCCCCACCTCTGACTCGCAGCTCCCAGATGCACATTAAGCTCATTATTTACCCCAAATGCAAAAGTAATTATTTCCTTCCTTTTTTGGCGGCCATCTTATAATAGCCACATGGTCATTAGGCCAAAAGAGGCTAATCAGGATGACAAATTCATCAGCTAGACTGGTGAGCTCGTGCCAGGCTGCATCACCAAAGTGAGGGGTGAGCAGGGACCCAGTGGCCTCCCCAAGCAGGTCCCTGTTCCCTGGGCATGCTGTCTGCTTGTTACTACAGCCCTGGCTTTCAATATACGGCAGGGTCTCTGCCATCGGGGTCTTGCTGGGACTGAGAGCAGGAGTATGAGGCCCCCAGATCTGCAAGCACCCAGGCTGGGGCCTTCCCAGCACCAGCTCGAAGCCAGGTCTGAAGGAGATGTACCAACACAGCAGTCACATCCTGCAACTTTACTTTCTGTTTCAGATCCCACTGGAATTTTGCCCTGCCAACTGCCTCAACTGTAGGATGAAGATAAGATCAAGACAAAAAAAAATGAGAGACAGCCCCTGGAATTTTTTTCCCCTGTTTCCTCAGGGTTGGTGGAAACCTGGCTTCTCCATGCTGTGGGAAATTCCAACACTGCCAGTTAGGATTTGATTCCTAAAGAGTGAAAACCCCTAGATTTCCACATGATACATTTTTAAAACATTGGGTGAAACCCCCAGGCTGTAACTTCAGCCTTTTTTTATATTTAATAGAAGTAAAAGCCATTTCAAGGAAATAAAATAAAAATTAATAGTCTGTTTGATCCAGACAGAACAAAACATGCTGCATGTGTTGGGATGTTTTCTGGCTCCTTCCCCAAATGGTGTTTTCTCAGGTTGGGCAGAGCCTTACAGGAAACTTTTATTGCAGGAACTGCCATTGCTCAAGACTGTCAGGTACCTTGGCTGCTGGAGGCAACGGCACAGACCAGAGGTGCTCACATCTCACCTGAAGAAACTTCGGCTTCTTCTGCAAAAAGTTTACTGCCAGTTTCAGATAAAAGATTGAGGAAAGGATCCAGCATGCACATAAAATGGGGTGGTGAGTGCTCTGTTTGCCGAAGGCACGACTTGCCGCAGGCATTGTTGTTTCAAGGCACAAACAGCTCTTTGGCAGGGTAACACAGCTGCTTTTCCTGAGCAGGTGGGGCTGGTGGTGTTTCACCTGGCAGGTGACTCCTCCAGGACACCCTCAGAGACCTCCCTTTGCTCCCAGTGAGCTCGGCAGCTGGATTTGGAGGCATTGGGCTTGGCCTGTAGATTAAATTGTGATGTAGATGAGGACAGGCACAAGAGGACACTGGCAATCCCAGTCCATACACACAAATCACAGCACCCAAGCAATGGAGTATGCAACCCTCCAAATCTGGGACTACCGTATTGCAAGGAAACAAAGAGCAGAAAAAACGAGTAACTGGGAACCAGAGAACACAGACTGTGCTAAGAAAATGCATGAAAATGAAACCAAGCAGACCAATGCTGAGGAGAAAGAAAGCTCACCATGAACATCCAGTAAAGGCCACAGGCTGGGGCAGCTCACCACAGCCCTTCCCCATTCTTCCTTAGGAGGACTGGAAGGAAACTTCTTGAGGTTACCCTTAGCACCTGAAGGCTGTCTGAAGTGGTGGTACAGCACCAAAGAAAAGCAGTAGATACTAGGAAGAGGTTGGTTTTTTCCCCCCATGTAACTTGAACTGTAGTATGAATGAGGAAGGGGCTTGGGCTGACCTAAAACCGGACAAGGAAAACCATGAGCAAACATAGGTGTGTGTGCCCACTGCCGAGTGTGGGCAGAGGGACCATGCACGGGGGCTGGCACTGTCACTCTGGGCCATCGAACACAGAGCCAGGTTTGATCCTCAGCACTCACAGAAGGACTCGATGGCTCATGCCTGACACTTCAGTGTCAAAGCTGGCTCTGGGCTCTCCAACTTTTGTTCCTGCTCTGCTCTAAGGACAGTTTCATACCAGGATGGATGTCCTGCTACTTAAACACTGGCTCTGCTGTGGAGAAAGGGAGAACAAGGTCTGGTATGGATTGGATGTTGGTGATGGCTCCAGGTGTGCTCAGAAGCCTGATCTGATGCCACACCCCTAACCTTTGGTTGCTCACGGGTAACCATTAGCCAGGAGCTTGGTCTGTTGCTCCAAAACACAGATACCATGGGCCAAAGGGCCAGATTCTGTCTTTGCCATGAGAGATATAAAAGCAGCTCCAACATTTCACACCCATGGCAGCTTTGCCAGGGCTGTGCACAGGCAGGTGCTTGAGCTGTGCACAAGGTCACGGTCCTCACACGTGAAGGGAACATATGACTAATGCTGGGGGAAGAAGTAATTCAAAATCTAATTGTCCATGCAAAAGCAGTATGCAAAACAACATGCAAAGACAACAAGGGCTGATACCTAAACAAACAGGAAATGGCACCAGAACATGGCTGGTCTCCTTCAGGGGATTTCCACAGTAATTTGTGTCCCTTGGGTCCTCATGCATGAAGGATTATGAATTGTTTGTTGCAGTAGGTTTGTCTTCCTGGAAATCAGGTGCTGACTGAAGAAAAAGGAAAAGTCAGTGAGACCTAGGAGGCTGTATGTCCCCTGGAAGAGATGACAGAGGTGATCAGATGAGAGTGCTGATGATTTCCACTGCATGGTCTGTTCGGGAGCTCCCAAGACCTCAGGAGGTGGTCCTCCTGGAGCAGGGAAGCCCAGCACCCCTGGGAGCAGGTATCAACAGCATCCTTTGCTGTCCATGATGTTGTCCATGATCTCTGTCCCAGAGGCTTGCTGGAAAGAAGCAGCAGGAACAGTTAGCTTTTGGGAAGACCCAGCCCATCTTGACACTGCAAAGGAGGCAGGCTGAGCCAAGACTCCAGCTCTGACATATGATGAGATTCCCTTTCCCCTGCTAATGCTCCCAGCTCCTTGCACTACACCCACCTCCCCTCAGCGGGGTTGGCAGCTCAGCCACAGTTCTGATACAATTCCCCTTACTGCAGCCCAAGAGCATTAGACTCAAGGAAGCAAAAGAACCACCACTGCAGCAGAGCTTCCACACGCACCAGAACTGGGCTCCTCCAGTTTCCATGGAGGAGTACACACGCAAGCAAGGTCTGTGAACCAGGACAGGGGGACTGGTGGTGCCTGTACTGCAGATGAGGCCAGTGCATGCAGCTGGTCCCCAACATGTGGGACCAGAATCCCAGACTTCAATCTGGAGAAACTCCAATGGCTTTTCCAATGACATGGCCCTGGGTGGTGTGGCCCAGAGCAGTCCAGAACTGACCTAACAACCTCCTCTCTCCTGGCCAAGGCAACCAGTGCCAGACTCAGGAGATGGTTCCTTAGAGCCAAAGGTAACCTCTTGCTTTGGAAATGCTCTCATCCTGTGCTTAACGTACAGCTCTTGAGCTGTTACTGTAATAAGGGAGAGAATTAAATGACAGGGGATCCAGAAAATCTGTTTGGCACTACATGACTTTGAATTTTCTCACATTAAAGCAAAAGGCAGGAAATGAGGAGCAGATGTCTGGGGCTGTCTGCAGCCAACATCTCCACTGGAGATGGAATGATTCCTGTCTGGGCAGTATTGACCAGTGCAGGGCTTGTGTTTTTAAGAAACTGCTTTACTTAGAAAATGTTTTCAAAAATATCAGAGAACATGACACAGGCTTTCACTTCTCTGAACACAATGGCTTCCTCCTTCCTTCTGAATAGGAACAAATTTGGGCTCCAGCACACAGTGCAAAACGCTGATGCTCTAATTTTTATACAGTGAGGCAGTCCACAGCTACCAGTGACCATCTCAAGCCAGTTAGGCTGCAGGACGTGGCTCTTTCTCCTGGTAGCACCACACCTGAGCTGCAAACTGGTGGCTGATCCCAGTGGGGCATTACATGGAAAGGCGCATACCTGCAGCAGGAGTCAGTGCCTCTCCTCGGCAGCCAGAACTGAGGACAACTCATTCTGTGACTGTCCCATGGAGTCTGCCACAGGCTGCTGCAATAAAAATTTAAATCGGTCGAAACTATTGCATGCAAAGAAACAAACACAATGCTGTTTAGTCCACAACACAGTTAAGCTTTTCTTAAACAGAGAGGAGTCATTTGTCCCCCACAGAGCAAGGCAGCCACCGGGCGCAAGCTCTTCCCTAGGACAGGGGATGGAGGAGGCTCTTCTGGGGAGATGTGGCTGGATGGCACAGATAAAATCAAGGCAGCTTTTGAGATGAGGGGAAGGAGCGTGCTGGGACCCTGCCAGAATCGGCTTGCCTGAGCACATCAGGCCCCTGGATCCTGTGAAGTCCCTACGGAACTGGAAAGACGTCCTGATGTGGCAATCTTTCTGCATCGCTGCAGGCCCCCCAGGCAAGATTTCCATGGAGGTGCCAGATGATCCCTGAAAGAGCTGTCTCTCACCACTGCACTACAGGGAAGAGAGGGGAGAGCGGCAGCAGGGCTGGTCAGGATGGGCATGACAGAAACCTCAGTGCACTGCGGGGGACCACAGTTGCCACAGGAGCTGGTGCCAGGCTTTCCCTTGGTGTAGAGTGGCTGTGCTCTGCCTCACCCCAGGGTGGTTAAGGGGTGTCTCCCCTCCTTTGCTTCCTGGAAAAGGGTCCTACCAGGGCCACTGTGGGAACAGGCAGAAGGTGGGGAGCTCAAAGTGCCATTTCACCTCTGCCAGAGACCAGGGACAGTCTAGTGCCTGCTGCCCTGGCTGCAGGGCAGGATAAGGCAT